ATATATAGATATTTGCTTTAAGAAATTACTTATATAAACATGGTAGCGTTTTACATCTTGTATGTTACGCATGTGGGGAACCAAAGTAACAATAAAAAATAAAAAATCTTATGAATTTGATGTAACATGTCAAGAGGACGCTGGTTTTCCTTTTTCTTTGTCCTTCATTCATATGACATATCTTCAGATTTTAATATGATTTTCGTCAAAAAAAAGCTATTTTTCTAGAGAATCTCCGAGAAACTGTAAGACTGCAAAAAAAAGTAGAAATAGGAAACTTATGGCTGGAAGTTGATAACCCTTGTTTGGTAACCTGACTATGAAAACTAGGAAAGCTTGGGCTAGAGCTTGAACTAAGAGAGATGAGAAATGAGAGAGATAGTGAAGTTAGGGAAAATAAAAAAGGGGTATCGTCTTTTCCCCCTTTCCCTAATAAATCGGCTCGGGGTGCACAATGGTTTTCCCTAAAATTGGGAAAAACACATTTTTCTCCATTTCCAAATGGGGAAAAACATGGTAACCGAGAAATTAGTTGTTTTGGTCTATTTTTTCAGTTTCCCAATAGGGCCTTGGATGGACGAGGGATACCAAGACTCCAATCACATGCCCTATCATATGAGAGCAATCAGTATGAAAGGAAAATTACGCCAATTTCCAATTTTTTTAAATAAAATATCACCCTTCATGTACTGTGATACACATTCATGTCTTGTTCTTCTTCTTTCTTTTCTCTTTCTTTTTTTTTTTTCAAAATGCCGTCGGTTCTCAAACCAAACTGTTAACAAATTGGTCTGGAAATTGAAATTATGAACCATTTTTTTCGTGATCGGATCAGTTTGGATTTTCAAAATGTAAACTTGTCTATTTAAATTTTGGAAGAGGGGGTCCGTTTAAGCAATTGAGGAGAATAAACTTTTTTAGACTTTCGTAATCATTCGAAATTTCAATTTTCAGAACCATTTTGTCATTAGTTTCCATTTGGATTTGAAAGTCCGAACCACCGAAATTTTAGAGAGAAAAAAATATATATATGAAACAAGTGTAAATTGCATGGAATATATTTCTAATCATGATAAAAAGAGAGATGTTAGTGTAAATTTCTCCTAGATAAAGTCCCCTGATCTTTCAAGGTGAATATCATCGTTCTTACGGAAGTTATCTAAGGGTTTGTTTGGATCCCTAGATTTTTCAATCTTAGGAAAAGTCAATCTTGGAATTGAGATTTATTGGAATTGACATTTCTTGAAATCTAGTGTATGCTGTTTGGATCGTATCTAGTCAAAATAAAAAAAATGCAAATTCTTCGTTTGGATTGACTGAAATATCTTTTTATTGAAAATACAAATCATTTCTCTCTAAAATTTTTGAGATAGTTTCTCTATCTAAAATTTTAATGCATGTTCTTTCAAAACTTAAAATTTGAAATAGACTCTCTTTAAAACTTTTGATATTGTTTCTCTCTCTAAAAAATTTATATGTTTTATTTCTCTACAATTTGATATAGTTTCTCTCTCTAAAATTTTGAGATACTTTTTCTCTCGAAAACCTAAAATTGGGGATAGTTTCTCTCTATAAAATTTTGAAATAGTTTCTCTCTCTAAACAATTTCAGATAGTTTCTTGCTCTAAAATATGATAGAGTTTCTCTCTCTAAAATTTTAAGGTACTTTCTCTATCTAAACCTTAAAATTGGAGATAGTTTTTTTCTAAAAATTTTAATATGGTCTCTATCTCTAAAATTTTAAGATGCTTTCTCTCTGTAAAACTTAAACTTTTGTGATTGTTTCTCTCTCTTAATATTTTAGGTAATTTATCTCTCTAAACTTAAAATTTGAGATAATTTCTTTATCTACTTTTTTTAAAATAGTTTTTATATCTAAAAATTTAAGTTACTTTCTCTACCTAAAATATGATATAGTAGCTCTCTCTAAGGGCGTATTTATTTTTCTGAAAGTATTCTTTCAGATTTTGAAAAAGTTCCACGTTTGATTCACACTTTCAATGAAAAGTTCATAAACTAATCTTTCAACAAAAATTCCTATTCCTTTATTAATAGATTAATGATCATATGTGTCCCTCCCACACCCATGTGTGTAGGATCCCAAAGGATCACCATTAAATTTGGCACAGATCTCTAAAATTTTTTTCATCTGGGTGTGCGACTATTTTCTAAAGATCTATGTCAAATTTAATGGTGATATTTTGGGAGTCCTACACACATGAGTGTGACCGGATCTCATAAGATCATTACTCTAAATATATATTTCATGTAATATTTATATTATTATATTATATAAAAAATCTTATATAATATTATATTACATATATATATATATATATGTTAAATAAATATTATATATAATATAATAAATACATTATAAATATTATATACATAATATACAAATATCTTATATTATACCATATATTATATAATATATAAATATCTTATATGATATTATATGTTATATATGATACAAATATACATTAATAAAATATATACAATATATTATATTATGTTATATATTTATATTTATTTGGTTAATATGTATAAATTATCAAACACAGTACCCAAAACTTTATGAACGTTCCAACAGGTTATCAAACGCAATATCCATAACTTATTTAAACATTCAAGGACAAAACATTAAACTTTTCAAAAGATATCTTTCAAAAAATCAAAAGCGCCTTGAAATTTTAAGGTATTTTCTTTCTCTATAACTTAAAATTTGAGATGGTTTATCTTTCTAAAATTTTAAAGTAGTTTCTTTCTCTAAAATTTTAATATACTCTCTCTCTAAAACTTAGAATTTGAAATAGTTTCTCAATCTAAATTTTAAGTAGTTTCTCTCTCTAAAAAATTTAAGTACTTTATCTATCTAAAATTTGATATCAGTTTATCTCTCTAAACTTTTAAGATATTTTCTCTCTAAAACTTTAAATTTGAGATAGTTTCTCTCTAGAAAAATTTTCCAGTAGTTTCTCTATCTAAAATTTGATATAATTTTTAATCTTTAAAATTTCAATATTTGCTCTCTCTAAAACTTAAAATTCGATATAATTTCTAATCTCTAAATGTTTTAAAATACTTCTCTAAAAAATTTAAGTAGTTTCTCTCTCTAAAATTGTAAGATAACTCTCTCTCTCTCTCTAAAACTTAATATTTGAGATAGTTTGTCTCTTTAAAATTTTAATTTGGTATCTCTAAAATTTTAAATTTGAGATAGTTTTTCTTTCTAAAAATTTGAGATAGTTTATCTCTCTAAAAAAATTCGTATATTTTAGCTATGTAAAATTTTTTTGTATGCTTTTTCTCTCTAAAATTTGATATAGTTTCCCTCTCTAAAATTTTAATCTACTTTTTCTCTCTAACATTTGATATAGTTTCCCTTTCTAAAATTTTACTATTTTTTTTGTTCTTCAACAACAAAATAGGTTATCTTCATGAAATGTCAATTCCACTCATTTTAGTGGAATCGAGATTTCCAAAATTTAGGCTTAAAATAAGCATTTAGGAATCCCACGAAAAATCTCAATTCCAATAGAAATGTCAATTCTAAGTGAACCAAACACGATTGATCTAGCTTTTCCAGAAAAAGTGACTCTTAAAAATCTGAATTCAAGGAACCAAACTGGCCAAAGGAAAATGGTTTTATAGGGCCGCAACACTATCAAAATAAGTGAAGCCCTTATAACTCGTCAAAATTTACAATTTGAGTATTGAAAAACCTTTATATCGATTATCTCAGCTTGAACATTATGGTTGTTAAATCAAAGTAGGATTTTCAGTTTTAAAAATCGTGTGCATTGTAACAAATTATCTAGACTGTCAATTTCGTCTTAAAAATAAGTATTTATAGATCAGCAAGATCAATACCATTTTTTGAGTTTCAAATTTGGTTAGAAATTGATTTTAAAGCGGTTATTGAGATTTCTGTTGCCGAAAGTACTTTATGGACTTGGATTTTAGGTGACGATTTATTTTGTGTTCATAGAGACTATGCCTTGTATAAACTTCATCCTTATCTAAAATGACAATATATTTGTGAAATTAGTTATGGTTTGTCACTCTACTTGTGTCAATTTTCAACTAGCTTAACGTATTCAAATCATTTATTTATTTTTTGGACTAGCTTAACATATTCAAATCATTTCTTTTTTTGGGCAGGCAAAAGAAAGAAAATCTAACGATAAATAGCTGATGGGCAACTTATAAAACTTGTGCTCCGCTCAGGCGGGCATTCTTTTTCTGGATTTTAGAGAAACAGAGAGGTTCGCGGGACTTATTGGCCAATTATTTATCAGAGGGAAGGAGCCTCTCAAAATCTATTATCCTTTATCATTTAGGTTCGTCTCACATTTATCTATCTATGATGCGCAGGTCCCAACTTTATTTTTCATTATCAGAAATAATAAATATGGGTCCGAAGCTTATTATTATTATTATTCACTTATTTTTGCAATTAGGGATTTCCGGTCTTCTGCCAAAATTTTATCCCTTTTCAATTAAAACCCTTATCAATCTCTCTCTCTCTCTCTCTCTCTCTCTCTCTCTCTCTCTCTCCATAATTGTGTAGGTTTAGCGAGTGTATTGGACATTGCAGAGAAGATAGGGGCGCACCATAATTTCATTTGAGGCTCAGGTAAACCCCAGGGCCTTTTTAACACTTGTTTAGGTTTTTCATGATTATTTGAATTTTATTTTTATTTTTTATTTGGGTGATTTGAAATTACACTGAGATTCATACCTCCTTTTGATCAGGAATGATGCATTGGATCTTGTTCTGTGTTTAAAATTGGTTGATTTGTATTGCATATTGTTCTTGTAAAACCACGTTGATAACGAATAATGGTTGGTTCTTATTTTTGGAGTTAAATATTGCCTAGATTTGAGTTGAACCCATTGTTTTCGTCTTACAAAATTAGGTTACTATGAGAAGATAATTTCTTTTTATAATGAAATTGAATACTACATGGCATTGTTGTGATAATGCCACTTAATCTTTAATTTTTGTTTATATGTAAACAACCTGGCTAAATGTAAATGCAGTCAACAAATTTAGATATTACATCTTAATATTGTTTGGTCCGGACCAGTCAAAAGCCAAGAGGAAATTATACATAAACTGGACATCAGCCTGTATAGACTGTTTGGATTTTTTGGGCCCCTTGTGGGTATTTGTATCGGGCACCCAATTTCAGGGTAGCCTAGTTTTTGTATCTTTCTACTTCTTGTAACATCTTTACTCTATACATAATACACTTAACAATTTTTTTTAAGAAAGACATCAGCCTGCGTGAAGCATGGGTAAGCATTTAGGAACGTTAAAACAAATAACTTTTTAATCTCAAAACTTCTTAAAGAGTAGATTTGTTACGAAAAATATGTAGATGTATTTGAATAGTTTTCATGACCAAACAATTCTAATTCATATTTGTGTTTAGTGAAGCTACTCTTCTACAATTTCTGGGCAGACAGTGTCCTATTGAATATCCTAATAGGAGGAAATTTGATTTCAATTGCTGCCCTAGTTTGACATTATCTATAGGACTTTATTGACTATATGAGGCATTTATTGAAGGCCTTATCGATGTCTATTAGGACTCGATGAGGCATTATTTTGGGTTGGTGATTATGTGAGAACTAATTAGTACAGTATAAAGCAGTTATTCAAGTCTGGTGTGTATGTACATGACGACACACACATACTACAACTTGTAATATAGTAGAGGTTCAAAAGAATCTAGTCAATAACTTAAGACATGCACATAATAAAATGAACATGAGAATTGCAATGTAGAAAGAAGGGTTCAGTCTGGTGAAAAAAAAGAAAGAGACAAATGAAGATTAGATGTCTGGTTTCAATCCAGCGATTTGAATAACACTTGATTTTGTTGGACTGTTGAAATTGAGCTAGAAATATTAATTGTAAAATTAAACAACAAGCTGGCATAGGAGTTGCAGAGCACGCAAAACAAAGAGGCTATTTAGAGAAATGAGGGCAATCAACAAGCAAGCATAAGACATGGAAATCAACTGAAATGGTGAGGGGATTTTGATATCATGGGTTATCTCCATTGTAATTGTTTGAATCCTCCAGAAATTTGTGTGAAGTGGCGCCATGAATCTCGTAGAAATTTGGGATGAGCCAGTTCATCACTCTAGTATGAGGGGCTAACACGTCAAATCCACTCTCTAGCATGCTATGCTGGTCTATGATACATGCTTTATAGACTATGGTGAAAATTGGAGAGGACTCAGCATGAGCTCTTGTGGAGAAGGAAAACAATGAGAGAGAGGACAGCTATTCCGGTAACAGGAAGTTTGCAAGCCTCAGGGTAAAGATTATCAGGTGCTTCACCACTTCAGAATGATGAAAATGGCCTTTTAAGAAACTACATCTAATATAATTAGATAACAAATCCTTTGGGCTGGAGTGGTGGAGCTAAATATTGGAGTAGATGAGGAGAAAGACATAACATAACTTTGAGGGTGTAATGTATGATTTGTATTATAAGATTGTTTCCATAACCAAGGTGCTGGCACCTTATGTTACATATGCACGCTATTCCATTCCCCACGCTTAACCTAATCCTCACTGATGTCCAACCTTCGACAATGGTCCTTCACATACCATACCCATTAGCCAGCCTGCCAGCCCCAATCTCCTGCTGTACCCCTCTTTTATTTCCTTATGAGTTCCTTCTTATATTGGCATTCTAGGTCATCTTTGAACCAACCACTGCCACCTACTGAATATAGCTCTCTTTATCTCCCTTGACCTTGTATTTGACCTTCTATATTTGTCTACTTGTAGGCTCTTCCCACTTCATCAGAGCATTTGATCTGGCCAGGTGTAGTGTCAACTTAGAACATCACCAGCCTGACTGCCTAGGCAGGCACTCAGATACCTAGGCGACCTATATATATATATATATATATATATGGAAAAGACCCCATCAGCTCACTAGCTGATGGAATATAGTAAGCCCAACGGCCCAGATTGAATCTAGGTCGATTTGATGGTCATAATTGTATTTCTTATTTGATTCTTTTTTCTACAAATTCAAATTACTTGAAATTTGGAGCGTTCACTCTTCTCATCAAGACGCACCTAATAAAAATTTTAAAATATTATTCTCAAAAAATAAATTGACCAAAATAACCTTGTAACTTTCAAGAGTATTTTGGTCAATTTAGTTTTTGTAAATAATTATTTTTTTAATAATTTCTATTAGGTTCACCTATTTTTCAAAATTAGACGCTCAAAATTTCAAGTAAATTGGATTTCATAAAAAAAAAATTCAAATATGAAATGCAATCGTGACCATTGGATCAGCCCATATGCAAGCTAGTGAGTCGACTGTAGACTGTGTGTGTGCGCGCAAGGCCTCACATTAAATACTTAAAGTTGTGTGTGTGTGTGTGGGTTATGCTTGGGGGCTCACACTATAGAGTATTTTATAATTGTACTCTACAAATTTTGTATACCCTTATTTTGTACATAGAGTATTTTTTTAGTAGGGATATTTTTTGTCATTAGGAGGGCTATGACATCACCCACATAAAGTACAATAGTGTCATTTAATGCTCCATGTGGGTGATGTCATACCCATGTGAATGATGTCATACCCCTCCTAATGATAAAAAATACCTTTACTAAAAAAATATTATATCACAAAATAAGGGTATGTAAATGTCCAAAAATTGTTTAGTACAATTATAAAATGCTTTATAGTGTGAGCACCCTAACATAACCCTATATATATTATATATATACACGTGTGTGCGAGGCCTCACATTAAATACTTAAAGTTCATTTTCTTTTTTTCTTATCTTTTTCTTATCTCATATATAGAGTGTAAGAGAGAACATATGGGTCCATGTGTGTGTGTGTGTGAGGTCTCACATTGAACATTTGGAGGACATTTTCATCTTTTTCTTGTTCTTATATGGAGAGAGAGAGAGAGAGAGAGAGAGAGAGAGAGAGAGAGAGAGAGAGAGAGAGAGAATAGAGAGTATAGTAGTAGTGTAGAGGAGGGTACGGTCGTACGTAGTACGTACGTACTTACGTTAGTACGTACTACTTCTTTCTTTACTTTTACTTT